AGACACCAGAATATACTGCTGATCAAGAACTGCGGCTCTCTCAAGTCGAAGAGACGGAACGTGAAATACAGGAGGAACAGACACAGCAACAACTGGAGAGGTTGTGGAAGACAGACTTCGGGGATTCAACTGTCAGTAACAAAGTAACTGCTTCCGTAGAAGATCGAGCTGCCTTAGAAATTATGGAAAACACGTTAAAGAAAGTGAACGGTCACTACCAAGTTGCTCTGCCATGGCGCAACCAACCCCCTTACTTGCCGAACAACAGAGAAATGGCCAAAAGGAGATGTCTTCTTCTAAAGAAGAGACTATTGAAGGACAAAGTCTTGTTTGAGAAGTACAAGGCGACCATGSACGAGTATSTGAGTAAAGGTCACGCTCAAAAGGTGCCTGAGAATGAACTGATGGTGAAAGAGAGACCCATCTGGTATCTACCACACCATCCGGTAACGCATCCATTGAAGCCGGAGAAGGTCAGGGTCGTGTTTGACTGCGCGGCGAAACAACAAGGGACATCCCTGAATCAACAATTGCTTCAGGGTCCAGACCTGACCAATAATTTGGTGGGCGTTTTAAGCAGATTCAGACAAGATCAGGTCGGACTGGTTTCCGATATAGAATCGATGTTCCATCAGGTCTTAGTGGAGCCGGAAGACTGTGACGCTTTAAGATTTTTCTGGTGGCCCAATGGAGATCTCTCAAGAGAAGTGCAARAATATCGGATGGTAAAACATCTCTTCGGTGCCACCTCCTCACCTAGTGTCGCCAACTTCTGTTTGAGGAAAACAGCAGAACTCGATAAAGAAGGGTTCGACCCTGAAACAGTGAACACTGTCAAAAGGAACATGTATGTTGATGACCTAATGAAGTCAACTAGCTCAACAGAGAAAGCAATACAGTTAACAGATCAACTGAGAAGACTACTGGAAAGAGGAGGGTTTCGCTTAACGAAGTGGTATAGCAACGATCGATCGGTGTTAGCAGCGATACCAGAGCAAGAAAGAGCAAAGTCAGTCGTCAATCTCGACTTAGAGAAGTTGCCAACAGAATCTGCCCTCGGGCTGAAGTGGAACACCGAAGCCGACAAGTTCGTCTGGGAAGTAGGTGAGAAAATTCAGCAAAGGATAGAAGAAAAGCCGAGGACGCGCMGAGGTATATTGTCCATCGTGTATTCCCTCTTCGATCCTCTGGGGTTYATAGCTCCATATGTCATGAAGGCCAAGCTGATGTTACAAGCATTTAGTAGGAAGCAGTTCGGTTGGGACGATCCTATACAGGAAGACGAAAGTGAGCAATGGGTACGTTGGCTAGAAGACCTTCCGAAACTCCAAGAAATCCAAGTAGACAGGTGCTTTACACCTAAAGACTTTGGAGAACCTGAAACTACGGAATTACATCTCTTCTCTGATGCTTCACGTCAAGGATATGCAGCGGTTGCTTATCTTCGTTTCGTAAACACCGAAAAGAGAGTTTACTGTGCATTTGTAATGGGTAAGGCGAGGCTAGCCCCCATCCATGAAATATCCATACCAAGATTGGAACTGACCGCAGCTGTGATCTCAGTGAAGCTAACAAAGATGATTCGAGAAGAATTAGAGATATCCTTCGACAGAGTAATCTATTGGACTGATTCTACGTCCGTTCTTAAGTGCATTAACAACAAGAATAAGCGGTTTCAYACGTTTGAGTCAAACCGGCTGACGATTATCCATAGCGGATCTGAGCCATGTGAATGGAGATACGTTAATAGGGACGATAACCCTGCAGACGACGGCTCAAAGGGCTTAAAGCTAGACRCCTTGCTAAAGAACGATCGTTGGCTAAGAGGCCCAAGTTTTCTGTGGAAAGAGGAAACCGACTGGCCAAAACTGATCGAAGTTCCAGAGCTAGAAAATGATGATCCTGCGGTAAGAAGAGAGGCTCAGATTTACGCCTCAAGTGCTGAAAGAAACGTTCTAGACGAACTGATGGTGCGTTTTTCATCTTGGTGGAGGCTGAAGAAGGCGGTTGCGTGGATCATTAGATTCGTAGAATACCTAAAGTTCAGAGCCGGAAAGAAAGGAAAAACGAGAAAGACTGCTGTACTTACSGTAGAARAACTCCACAAAGCGGAAACTTTGTTAGTTCGACGAGTACAGAGAGCATCGTTTGCAGACGTAATCGAGATCTTGTCTAAAGATACTTCGAAAACGGAGGAAAGAAAAATCAAGAAATCTATTCAGAAAGCAGGAGATTCCATATTCAAATTAAACCCGCAGTTGAAGGATAGAGTACTACGAGTGGGAGGGCGCTTAGTGAACGCACCAATCGAGGAAGGCATAAGACATCCAATCATCTTACCTTACGTCGGACACGTAACAGATTTGATCATAGACTATTACCACCTTAGCATTGGCCATATGGGTCAAGAAAGTGTACTGTCATCTCTCAGAAAGAAGTTTTGGATCGTCAAAGGAAGATCAGCGGTACGGCGCAGAGTACGGAAATGTATGGATTGTCAACGAAGGAACTCAAGACTCGGAGATCAGTTCATGGGAAATTTACCTCCACATCGATTACAGCCAGAYCTTCCACCCTTCACGTACGTGGGTGTCGATTATTTTGGTCCACTGGAAGTGAAACAAGGTAGATCCCGCGTAAAGAGGTACGGGTGTTTATTCACGTGTCTAGCGTCGAGAGCGGTGCACRTAGAAATTGCGCATTCGCTGAACACTGATTCCATGATTAATGCGCTGAGAAGATTCATCTCGCTGCGAGGCTGTCCGAAGGTAATCAAGAGTGACAATGGAACTAATTTTACCAGCGCGAACAAAGAATTRAAGGAAGAACTAAAGAAATGGAWTCAAGAAAGAATCAGTAACGCCTGCGCACAGAAAGAGATACAATGGGACTTCAATCCACCAGCAGCCAGCCACATGGGCGGCGTTTGGGAGAGGATGATTCGCTCTACAAGACAGATACTTCGGGCGTTGTTAAAGGAACAATTAGTCAGTGACGAAGTTCTTTCAACCATAATGGCGGAAGTCGTGAACATCTTAAATAGCAGGCCACTCACGCGCAATAGTKATAGCCCAGACGATGATCTTCCTTTAACWCCCAATCATCTTCTTCMCCTACGACCAAGTCCCAGTCTGCCTCCAGGTACCTTTAAGAAGGATGATGTGTACGCCAACCGACAGTGGCGACAAGCACAATATCTAAGCAACGTATTCTGGGCGAGATGGACAAAAGAGTACTTACCCACACTACTGGAACGAAGAAAATGGAATATTCCTAACAGAAATCTGAAGGTTGGAGACTTGGTACTCCTTGCAGATGAGAACCACTCGAGAGGAAAATGGCCGCTAGCGCGTGTCGTTGAAGTTATCCCAAGCCGAGACGGATATGTACGGACAGTGAAAGTCAAGACAACTTCAACAGTAGCAACTTGTGCGAAAAGACGCCGACAAAGGGAAATAAAGACAAGTAGTGTTGTCCTGACAAGACCAGTAACCAAGTTATGTCCATTGGAGATGGAGGAATAAAGAGAATATTTGGGCATTGATATAAGAATGACTGTTAAAACGTTATCAACACTCGGTAGAGAGATTGTTAGTAAATGGACTCTGTAGAACTCCATTTAGGGGCCGGTGTGGCTACCGAGTCATATCCGGATCCGGTGCACGTGATATAAAGGTCACGTGACATCACGTTCGGGTTTAGTATAAGTGAATATTTGAACTCGTGCGAGTCGAGTTTGCAGGACTCAATATTGTTGTTTATTATCAGTATTTCTTTATATCCATGCGGATGGATTCGTACAGTCTGGTAGGTTTTAATTTGTAATTTCTTTCGTCCTTTCTTTTTTTTTTTTGTTTGTTTACTTTGCGCAATGTGTAATAATTTGTATTTAATTTATTCAGAAAACCGACTACTATTTCGTCTACAACTAAAAGATTACTTCTACTGCTGTAACAGGATAAACCCTTGAGTGAATAAATAGTTGAGTTTAAGACTGTACAAGATTTATTGGTACACCTAATGTGATTGGAGTCACAAA